GGCCTGTAACTATAGGTCTTTCAGAGTCTTTCTCATCAACCGTACTACATATACTCCGGAGTAACACTGTATCATACATAATATGCTTGTTGTGCTACCCTCCGCCTTGGAATCGCTCCAATTTTGGCGGCAGGGCGAAGCGCTAACAACCTGTCTGCTCTGGTTCCTTGACATGCGGGCTAGACATGCAAGGCATGCAGTCGCAAAATCATCTGCTGGTGCCATCGGCAATAAAGTAAATCGGCCTTACTTGGTCTAGAGTCTGGTCTTGAAGAGCGGGATAGATCTTACCTGACCGTCTGTGAGGGTAGCAGCAGAAGCAGCAGGGGACGCCATCAGAGCTGACCAAGGGCGGAGGTTGTGTCGTGTGTGAGAGGTGACCTGCTGTTGGTGTCTAAAACTCTGCTTCAGGCGTCTGTGATGGATGTTTTCTGCTGAACGAACAGACCGGGGGTGAGTGGACTTCTTTCCGCTATGCGGGCATGTGGCATGTGGACCCACCTGCTACACTGATGCAAAGTGACAAGTAGCTCCATGGGAAATTCAACCAAGGGCCAACGGCAGGTCCGGCAATCGACTACTAGATTTTTTTTCACATGGTGCCCATCGTGGTGACATCATAATGCATCACGTGGATATGCCGATATGCCGAATTGCCGAGATATGCCGCCCGCATCTCCGTCTGCTGCTGCTGTGTAGACAAATAATAGTAACATGCGGCCGGATCGCACCTCCCCATCCCCCGCGAGATCCACCGAGTTGCGTCTCCCCCACCAAGTTGCGCCAAGTTGATTGCGATAAAACGTACCTTCTGGACGCCCTCAGCTTATAGGAGGGACCTTGAGGTACAGACCTGGTGTGGGGCCACGTGAAAGGGAAAAAGGAGAAACTCAAGAAGGAAGAGAAGTCGATTTCACGGCCGGCGGATACAGTCCGTGGTGACCAGCAGGGCGGGGGCGCGCCGGACAGCATGTCGTACCTGCTGCCGCACTTGCGAACAGGGTGGGCTGTGGACCAAGCCATCATCAACGAGGAGGAGAGAGTGGTGTGCCTGAGGTTCGGGCACGACCATGACGTGACATGCATGCAGATGGATGAGGTCCTTGCGGGCATTGCGGAGGACGTCAAAAACTTTTGCGCCATCTACGTCGTTGACGTTTCGGAGGTACGCACATAGGGAAAGAGAGAGAATGGGGTTGACGTGGTAAGGTGGTTTGGGGGCGATGAAAAGGGAAGCACTGCTGTACAGCAGCGGTTACCCCTTTTCCGCCCTGTACCCGAGATTAATCACAACGCTTGTTACTTCTATGGTTGAAACGATACGTACTATGAGGTACGTTCGTACACAATTTGTCGCACGCCGCCGTGCCGACAACTGGGTTGTGGTGGACTTCATATGAACACTTCGGGTACTGCTGTACGCTGTAGTCACAATGCATGCAGTGCAGGGTGAAGGCACCCTTCGGCCCCTCTCCCGCCTTTAACTTGTAACTAATCGACGTTGCTTTGTCGTTATTGTCACGGCTGTCTTCGTTAACGGCTTTTCATGTCGGCATCATTTGCCGCGTTAGGCAGAAACCACGGTACAGCAGTACAGCAGTAATTGACAGTACAACTGACCGACAGTAGCAAAATCACCAGCGCCGCACACAGAAATGTGTTGCTTTCATACCCTCACTGGTCACCACGGAATAAAATTGTACAGTTAACCACACACCATGGCACGTCGGGGCCTGTTCCGTTTGCTTGCTTTTAAGTGTTCCTTACGCGTGTGGTCACCGCACAACAAACGTGCGCGACACGTTCACCAAGCATCACGTCCGTCAACCGGTCTCATGAGACGGTTCAAAACCAAACGGCATTTGCATTCCCACTTTGCTGCAGGCAGGCTCTCGTGCCCTCAAGACGACGACCTATGTACAGCGCCGCGCGAATCAATAATTATGTCATCGGTAGAAAGGGCAGGCGAAACAAGCAAGCGTCGCCTTCCTCATCCGCAGAGAAACGGACGGTGGAATTCAACGGCTTAAAACAAAACAAGACAGCCCGTACGCAACAGGCCCCCACTCCTCGAGAAGGCAACCGCTGGCCGAGTGCTTGCCTAATGGCGTAGAGGGGCACATGGGCATTGTTTTGTGGCGTGTAACGCACTTGGTGTTTTCTTGCGGCATACGCACGTTCATCGCCTATCTCTCAAAAGTGTTCACGTTCCGTTTCGTTGTCGTTTACGATTGTTTGCGATTATCCACGTTGTTCTTTTTGGCGAGCGAGACCGAACGACGAATTGGTCGTTTGTCCTTGATGTGATGAAGGTTGGATTAGGCACCATAATACGTGTACATATAGCGATCACAGCGGTGATGCAGTGCTGCTGTATGCTGTGTGTCACGCGTGCATCATCTTTACATTTCTACTACCGTTCTTGTGTGGCCATCGGAGCCGTGTACAGAGGTGCGAGGTCCATGGGTGGGGGGTACTAGACCCCCCCCCCCCCCCCCCC